TCTCTCTCTCTCTCTCTCTCTCTCTCTCTCTCTCTCTCTCTCTCTCTTTCTGGTTCCTGCATTAACACACCTGAGGTTGGACTTCTCATTCCTGTTCCATGAGTTTGCTTCTTATAATAAAGAAAATATAATTGAAATATTTTGGAGTTAGCTTGGGAGTCTTTGACCTGTGCCCTACCCCCAACACTGAGCCTTTAAACCTACAGTGGACACAAGGGAGACACCATATCCTGAGGATCCTGGACCGCCTGGATGACTTTCTTTGGGCTTGTCATAGGACAAGGTCAACCCCAGGCCAAGCTAACAAATGCATCCAGGAATGACTGAATTTTGGATTTTGCACCAGCACCATTTCAGGAGAGTCTTGATTGCACAGAGTAAGAAGGAGTTTGTACCCCTAGTAATTAATGTGTACTGCCAATAGCCTAAGGGCAAGTCACTTAGCTACCTTGTGCCAAGTCATTTCTTCAGTGCCAGCACAAACCACCTGTCCCTCTTTCTGACATGCCTCTGGATCAAAAGAAGAGTCAAAAAGTGGGCGGTTTGGGGTTGGTGGAGAGCATTTAGCTAATAAAGTCACTCAAGTCTCAGATCCCAAGCTAGGCCCCACTGTTGGTGCGTCCATACCCACCATTGATAGACGGGATAGGATCTGGTGTGCGGGTGTGAAAGAATACGTTTGTGTTCAGGAGATGGAGAGAACTGAGCAACAAGTGCCCAGAGAAAACACCCTCCTCCAGCCACACGAGACCCTCTCACTCTTTCCCAGGCCCAGTCACATCACCTGATTTCCCAGGATGACTATCTCCATTGTAGAACGCTAATCTCGGAAGGGTGGGCAGAGCTAAGGAGAGGACACCGTCTTCAGGGAGCCTCCTACTCTCTGCTCCAGTTTTGCTTGGTTTTGTTTTTAATCTCTGCCTGTGTGGCGCTTAAGGGTTTTTCTGACTCCAAGGCAAGGCGTGTTCTCTTCAATACTGGGACATGCTGCACACGACCGCTTTGGTGGAAGGTCTGATTCCGTGTGCTGTGTGCTAGAGCCTCTTGGAATTGGAGTGGGTGCACAGGTCCAAAGGACAAACTGGAGACAAATTACTAACGAGAGAGAGAGAGAGAGAGAGAGAGAGAGAGAGAGAGAGAGACAGAGGAAGTAGAGCTATTGGACCTGAGGAGGGCACGCGTAGGGACGACACTGGGTTTAAGTGATTACCAGCAGTGAGTGTAAAGAGGACAGATGCCACATCATTTATTCTGATTTATTTACCAGAGTCAACCGGGACAGGCAGTGTGGTGGGTATGGGTGAAGCCATATCTCCTTCAAAGTTGGGGGAGGACTGATCCATCCAAGAGATGTCGTTAGGGGGAGCGATGGTCATTTCCCACACCCCGTCGTCCAACAGGTTCACACAGACGTTCCCACACCACATGGAACAGCATATGTTATTAGCTTGGCAGTCTTCGTGAGACTCACAATGGTGCTTACACAGATACGGCTTTGGCCTCCTCTGACACTTCCCGATGGCAGGGAGATCTTGTGCTACTGAAAAGAACAAGAATGGGAGGGTGAGTAGAATGGTTGCCTAGAGAGAATCCTGCCCAGGCTTAAAGTTCCTTCAACAAGTTAAGGTCGCACTCAACACGCCTGGGGTTTCCAGGCGCCTGTCTTGGTGCCTCTCACCAAGTCCTGGTGATGAGTTGTTTTCTAAATCCCATGCTCCACGCTACTCTCAGCACCTCCTCCATAGCTGTCAGCCTCCGGCTCTCCTCTCCTGGTTTTCCTCTTACCTGCATCCAGGACCAGTCTCTCCTGGCAGACAGAGCTTTGATGACATCACCTCTGTGGGATGTATCTTCTTACTCAGCCCACAGAAACCTGAGACATTTCTCAGATCCCCTCTACTCTACAGAATTTGCAGGGTTCATGAGGGTGACCAGTCAACCCCTGGCCTCTTTTTGCTTTCTTGGCTATATCTTTCCAGTATCCCGTCCCTTTCACAGTTAATCTTCTCCTGACACCCCTGCCTCAGACGGTAATTTCATCCTACCTCTTTCATGTTCGATGTCTGTTTCTGCATCTGGACCCATTTTTATGCCCTTCAACCCCCCACGAGCCTCTCTGCACGTTTACCCTTCCCAAATATGCATCAATAAAAAAACAATTGTCTTGTTTGTCCTTTGGACTTTCAGCCTGGGGGCCCCTTTCGCCACAGTAGGGATCCTTGGCGTCTGGATCTTTGGAACGAAGTGGGGGAAAATGCAGATTTACTCTCCACCTCTTCACTTTGTCTAGCTCTAGGAACCAGAGTGGGGAGAGCTGTGATCACCAGGAGCCCGGACAGTGTTGTGGAGGAGCAGGGTAGGCAGTGGTGCCTCTTCAGCGTCCCTCCTGGCCTGTTACCCACCTTACCTTCGTTTTGTGTCCGTTTTCGGCGGATCCCTCCCTGGGCTAGTGATGACAGTAACAGCAGGGCGAGGGTAAGTTGCGGAGCCCTGGACAGCATGGCTTGGAGCAGAGCCGTCGGTGAGCTGAGAGCTCCGCTGGATGGCAGACTTCCCCACAGCGGGATGAGGGCTCACTGCTTCCTATGCTGGCCAAGCCGGGGCAGAGCAACAGCCTATCTCTTTCCCTTTTCTTGTCTCCTGATCTGTCCCATGAGACTTTTCTCAGAAGATACCTCCTTTCGCAGTATCAGTTCTTTTTTTTTTTTTCTGCTAAGATAATTTCCATAATTGTGAAATATATCATTTAGAGCCCAGGAGATGGTTCAGTGGGTAAAGAGTTTGCATGTAAAAGTTGGCCTGGAGGCCAATGTCGACAAACCGGAACTGGGAGTCTTGGCAGAGCAGACAGCTCGCTGGGTCTTGCTGGGCTGCCTGGGGCAGAAACTTTGAGTGCTAAGTTTGGGGAGAGACTGTGAAATCTACCGCTAGTTTCCACATGCACACGCACAAGCATACATATATATGTGCACACGTGCATACACTACACACACGAAGGGAAATATACAATTTATTTTAATTTGTTTTTGTTTTTTTGTTTTTTGAGACAGGGTTTCGCTGTGTTGCTCTGGCTGTCCTGGAACTAGCTTTGTAGACCAGGCTGGTCTCAGACTCACAGAGATCCGCCTGCTTCTGGACGCCCCTACCCGTGCTGGTATTAAAGGCATGTGCCACCACTGCCTAATCTATTTTAGTTTTTTTTTTTATTATAAAGATTTTATGGAACAAAGAAGAGAAAATTATGATTAAGAAGACTATAGTCTCACCAGTGAAAATAGGCTCATTTTAAAAATTTATTTGGTCTGTGTCATATCTTTGCACTGCACATGAAACCAGGACATAAGATCCCCTGGAATTAGAACTGCAGGCAGTTGTGAACCGCCTGATACAGGTGCCGGAACCAAATCCGAGTCCTCTGCAAAAGCAGCAAGTGCTCATAACCACTGGTCCGGCTCTCCAGCCCTGACCCTTGTTTTGCTGTGTTATCTTTCGGTTCTCCAGGCACTTCAGGGTCACATTTTGGCTCAGTCATTTTTGTAACTTGTCTGCCATTTACTTAATCATGTAACAGTTTCACAAAATGCCCTTTCATAATTGCACTGCTTCCAATTAAATCACACATATGGTCAAGTGTTTGTTCTAATTCATGCTGCTCTGCAAAATACCCCAGACTGGAAGGGTTGCACAGAGACTGAGGAGGACCGACGAGGTGGTAACTCTGCTCACCTAGATCCATCTACAACGCTGGGGTGGGAGGTCCTTCTGTCTATGTGCTGCTTTTATTGGTTAATGAATAAAGAAACTGCCTTGGCCTGTTGATAGGGCAGAACTTAGGTAGGCAGGGAAAACCAAATGGAATGCTGGGAGAAAGAAGGGCGGAGTCAGTGAGAAGTCATGGAGCTGTCGCCAGAGATAGACTTGCTGAAATTTTGCTGGTAGGCCACAACCTTGTGGTGACGCACAGATTAATGGAGATGGGTTAAATTAATATGTAAGAGTTAACAAACAAGAAGCTAGAGCTAATGGGCCAAGCAGTGATTTAATTAACATAGTTCCTGTGTGATTATTTCAGGTCTAAGCTATCTGAGCAGCCAGGAAAAACAAGTGGGCCCCTTCTCCAACAAACTGGTGCCCAATGTGGGGTCCAAACCCACGACCCTGGGATTAAGAGTCTCATGCTCTACTGACTAAGCTAGCCAGGTGGCTGCTTGCGTCTCTGAGTCATGTGCACTGCCCCACTTCCAGTCACACAGCCAGTCCACGTTGCCACCAAGCAAGCCACAGAAGTCTGTTCACAAATCCCATCCAAATATTCCATTTCTCTAAAGAGTCAGAGTGTGTGTTAGCAGCATGGCCCACGGCTGGGAAGCTGCCATTTTGAAACCCACGCAGCTGATACTGCTGAATCAGTAAGACCTCTCTTAAAGGAGCCGCAGCATGTCACCTCAAGCAAAGCCCAGTTGGAAAAAAACAATGTGGCTAAACTTTGTTTTTTAGTGTCTAGAATTCCTTTCCAAACCCTCTCAGGTTTTAAGTGAATTTTAGTTGGCCACGTGGGTACCAATCTGTTGGAGAAGGGGGCACCTTGTTGGTTCCCAGCTGCCTGGCTACTTTAGACCCAAAATAATCACACAAAAACTATATTAATTAAATCATTGCTTGGCCACCACAGCACTGTGAAGGCTCTGACTTTGTTTCATGGGTTCTTGGCTTTTAAAAAAATTAAACATCTTTTTTTTATCCTTTGACAAGTTCATACTTTATATATATAGAGTATGCTGATCCCATTCATTCTCAACACTTACCTTCCACTGCTTTCTGAATTCTCTGCCCCCAATATGTCCATGTTTGTGCTTCTCTCTCTCTCTCTCTCTCTCTCTCTCTCTCTCTCTCTCTCTCTGCATACCAGAGAACCTACCTATCTCTGATGAAGCCCCACCTCTTAAAGGTAACACCGCTCTTACCACTGCTGCTCTGGGTACCACCTCTCCAGCACAGGAACCTTCAGGGAACAAACTACAGACCATAGCAGGTACCATTGTCCTCCTCATCTGTAATTTCCCTTCAGTGTGTTTTCCCATTCTTCACACTGCTGTAATTTCCCTTCGGTGTGTTTTCACGCTGCTGTAATTTCCCTTCAGTGCATTCCTACACAGTTGTAATTTCCCTTCAGTGTGTTCCCACACTCTTCACACTGCTGTGATTTCCCTTCAATGTGTTCCCACACTCTTCACACTGCTGTGATTTTCCTTCAGTGTGTTCCCACACTCTTTACACTGTTATAATTTCCCTTCACCTGTGTTCCCACACACTTCACATTGTTGTAATTTCCCTTCAGTGTGTTCCTACACTCCTCACACTGCTGTAATTTCCCTTCAGTGTGTTCCCACACTCTTCACATTACTGTAATTTTCCTTCAGTGTGTTCCTACACTCTTCACACTGTTATGATTTTCCTTAAGTGTGTTCTCACACTCTTTACACTGTTATAATTTCCCTTCACTATGTTCCCACACACTTCACACTGTTGTGATTTCCCTTCACTGTGTTCCCACACTCTTCACACTGTTGTGATTTCCCTTCACTGTGTTCCCACACTCTTCACACTGTTGTGATCTCCCTTCACTGTGTTCCCACACTCTTCACACTGTTGTGATTTCCCTTCAGTATGTTCCCATACACTTCACACTGTTGTGATTTCCCTTCAGTGTGTTCCCACAGTCTTCACACAGTTGTAATTTCCCTTCAGTGCGTTCCCACATTGTTGTACTTGGGTTTCCAAGCCCGGGCCTCTGTCTTTGTACTGGCTTGTCCTCCTAGGTCACCAAGTCTGTGGAGACATAGCACATACTTCCCACTGCTCAGAACACCAGGGGAACACAGAAAGAGCTTCACACAAAGACATCTGTTGTTACATAAAGTAATCCTTTGGGCCATGTTTGAGAGGAGCCTGCTCTTTGAGCTTGACCTTTTCATGTGTGTTGTTGTTGCTGTTGTTGTTTTGTGTGTGTGTGTGTGTGTGTGTGAGAGAGAGAGAGAGAGAGAGAGACAGAGAGAGACAGAGAGAGAGAGAGAGAGACAGAGAGGAGGTAGAGGGGCAGAGGAGAACCTTGGGTGCCCTGGTCTGTCACTATCTACCTTATCCCGTTGAAACAGGGGCTTTAAATGAACCTGGAGATTGACATTCTCAACCTGGCTAGGTGGCCAGCAAGAACTAATGGCTCTTTTGCCCATCTGCCCCAGTGCTGGAATTACAGGCATGTGAGGCACTCTCAGGATCTTTTAAAAATGTGTATGCTGGCATCTGAACTAGGGTCCCATGGTTGCCCAGCAAGCTCTCGTATTCACTGTGCCATCTCTCCAGTTCCTATCATGTTTCTCTTTGCTATTTGGTGAACAAATCTCTCCACCCACCAAGCAACAACTCTGTAACAAGATCTCGACTTTAGGTTTGATCAGTTCCCTGCCTTTATTTGCTAGATGGCCAACTAGCTTTTATAAAAATACAGTTTCTTCACCTACGTAAACCCTGGAGTGCATCTGTGGTAGCCTGAACTTTGGAATCAATACTGAGTGGGATGCGATGATAAAGGTCAGGGTCACAGAACTGGATGTGGTATGACACCCCTGTAATTCTCGCATTCTGGGGGTAGGGGCAAGAGGATTGCCATGAGTTCTGGGCAAGCCTGGGCTACAGCGTGAGATCATTCCTCAAAACACCACCATAGCCAACACGGACAGGTGCCTTTGACTCCCTTCCTGTGGGGGGAACTCAGATGCTTCAGGAAAAGACTGCACCCTGTGCTTGAGGAACTCTGGATTGAGACTGGAGCTGTAGACCAGGCACACAATGTCCCTCGCCCACCCAGACACCATCTGTGTCGATGCGGTGCGGTGCTTTCTGGTGGAAGGGTGCCAGAGAAAGAGTCTGTGATGTGGCCAACACGTAACTCCTGGGCTGAACTTAAAACTCCGCTACCACAAAAGTCACCCTAACTTCTAGGCCCCTGAACGTCCGGGTTCCCCTCTGCTGTGCTCTGTTCCAGGTCTGGACGGAAGAGCTGTGAGTACATTTTCACGAGCACCTGTGGAAGGTGGAGTGTGAGGGTCTTGAGTTTTGTTTGTGGTTGGCTTAGCCTAACTGCTGCCTGAGTAGTGTCAAAGCCATTCCCATGATAGGGGTGGTGGTGGCCTTTTGTTCCAGTGAACAAACTGAAAAAGAGGTGACAAGACCGATATATCCAAGACGTCAAAGGTAAACTTCAGGTGGATGAAGCAGTCACCTGCACTCCTGTCTAGCTGTTTTTTTTTCCACATTGTGTACTTTTATGACATTACAAAAGAGTAAGTAAAAGAAGGAGGCAAAGCTGGAGAGGGAGACTGTGAGTGTTACCACTCTGAGGGGAAAGGCTTCCTCACTGCAAATGATACAATTCTGCTGGGGGGGGGGTTGGGGTGGGTGGGGGTGCGGGGGGTGAGGGGGTGGGAAGAAGGTTTCCCCACTGCAAGTGTTCAGGTCAGAGGAAGGTTTCCCAAAAGTGTTACAGTTCTGAAGGAAAAGGTACTCTGGCAGATGGGAGTCAAGGACTATCATAAAGTCACACTGCACA